CCCGCCTGTGACCATGCAGGCTTCTCTCAGTAAAACTGTCCCTTTCAGGGCAGCTCTTCCTGTATACCTGTGAAATGCTAAGCCAGCTCCCATAGTCAGGTTTAGTTATTAATGTCATACTTCTTCCCAAATGCCAGAGGTTTATTTTCTTAGTTCCCCTCACCCTTGACCCAACACAACCATTTTAGTCAAAGGTAGAAAAATTGAGGCCATGAACATTAATTCATAATATTTACATTTTCATTATTTTTTAAATTTATTTTTTATTTATGCATTCAAGAACTAGGATAGAGGCCAGAGTTGCAGGGGTTAGAGGATCCACCAGAGACAAGAGTGGGGAGCAGAACAGGCAGATGTACTGAAGTACACTACTGAGGGGAGCAGCAGGCGGGACAGGAGAGGTGTACTACACCTCTCCTGGCCAGGGAGCAAACTCATGCAGCAGTGGCTGAGGATAGCCTCTCAATGCTGTGCTTTAATGCACAGCGCCACCTGGGAGGGCCATAGATTTTCACTATTGATGAGATCCAGCCACTCCAGAGAACACAGACTAGTTTGGTTCTAATTGAACTAGAGTTAATCCTTCTTTCTTGAGTTGTTAAGTCATATGGTATAACAATGGTTGTGCAGTAACATTTAGGACTCTGGACAGGATACATTGATCAACTGCAAAACACACAAACCCTCTCTCCCCCACCAAAAAAAAAAAAACATACTACAATTGCCAGAAACTTTATTTTTGTAGTAAGTTTTAAAGCAAGAGACCCAGATTATAACACTCTGACAATAAAAATAAACCCCAGAACCTAGCTGGGTCAGTTTTTGAGTCAGTTGGCTTTTTTTTTATGGTCTGTCCATAAAAACTCTGAAGTGAATTCAAATTTACCTGGTTTGTTGAACTTCTAAAGCGAAAGTTGGGTTATTCATGATATCTACTAAGGTTAGAGACAACTCTTGGGCCACCTTTTTGAGTTGTATTATTAGTGCTATATTTTTCGTGGGCATTTTATTTCCAGAGTGCACATGCAAAGGAAGTTAATTATCCCACGTAGGAGTTCTCCCGAGAAGTCTGCGAGGTTGTGTTTGCTTCGTTTTATTGGTTTCCGGGTATTCTTTGCAGGGGTGGTAATTTTAAACACCTAAGAGTCTTTAACAATTAGCATTGAGACACAGGATATTAGTGTGTGGTAGGGTGTAAGGCTAGTGTTCACAAGGCAAGTAGTATTCTAGTGGGTACAGATGATATTGGGAGAAGTATTATATAGTACATCAGGAGCAAGCCAATATTTTATCCCTGAAGATGGAAGTATTTTTTTTTCTTTTTTTTTTTTTAGATTTGTTTATTTGTGCATACAGAACTGGGGTACAGGCCAGAGGCTCAGGGGTGGTGAGAGGCTTCACCAGAGACAGAGTGGGGAGCAGAACAGGCAGATCTACGAAGTACACTGCTGAGGGGAACAGCGGGCGGGTCAGGAGAGGTCTGCTGAGCCATGTGGTCACCTCCGGGGCAGGCGGGGATCGAACTCATGAGGAAACGGCTTTAGATTCTCAGTGCTGTGCTTTAACCCGCTGCGCCACCAGGGAGGGCCGGAAGTATTTCTTTTTTAAAATATTTTTTCATTTATGCATACAACTGGGGTACAGGCCAGAGATGCAGGGAGTGAGCAGAGTGGGGAGCAGAAAAGGCAGATTGACTGAAATACACTGCTGAGGCGGGCAGCAGGTGGGTCAGGCGAGGTCTGCCTCACCATGTGGGTCAGCTTCCTGTCTGGGAATTGAACTAGTGCCACAGTGGCTGAGGCTCACTGCATAGTGTTGTGCTTTAACCTGTTGTACCACCAGGGAGGGCCCAAGATGGACAGACTTCTTAAAGACTAAAACAGCTGCCAGAGGAGCTGGAGTGTTTCTGAAGAGAACACATAGACTATTTTGCAAGAATAGCCCCAATTTAGTTTCAATCTTTGAAGCGATAGGTTTTTCAGATAAGGTTGTAATAACCTCAGAAAAACACTTTGTGAGGTGTGGATCAAGGTCCAATTTTTGTAAGACTGAAGTTTGGTGTTAATTTTGTGAGGAAAGGTTACGTACCAGAAGGGATCAGTAGAAGGAAGTCTACCTTATGGAGTGTTTAAAAACACAACTAGTAAATTTTATCAATAACCAGTTAAATTAAGAGCTGTAGCAGTAGTTTGGGAGTACTGTTTTTCTTAAGTGCCAGAGAGCCCAGGGAATCAAAAGCAACAGGATGAAGATAAAGGAGAGCATATTGAGAAATCATGGACTTAGTTAATAAAGGGTGTCAAAGTACAATAATAGGTATGGTTAATGATAGGATAGAGGATGCTGAAGAAACTATTTCTGCTTTGTTGTGATGGGCATATGTTGCCTACATCTATAGTTAGCAACTTCTGGAGAATTCCCAAGAATCTTCAGCTTGGGATTTTCCAACTAAATGGAGTACCCAGGAAAAGATGATATATGTATATTTATATATGTATGTATGTACATATATATGTGTGTACATTTAGTTGGATAATATGAATCCGAGGATCAATGCCTTGGAATTTCACTGTTTTTTTCTTTAAAGATTTATTTATGCATACAGGAACTGGGTTACAGGCCAGAGGTGTGGGGTAGAGGGTGAGAGGATTCACCAGAAACAGAGTGGGGAGCAAAATAGGCAGAATGACTGAAATATACTGCAGAGGGGAGCAGCAGGCAGGTCATGCCATGTAGGTCACCTCCCTGGTCACAGATAGAACTAGTGCTGTAGTGGCTTGGACAGCTTCATAGTGCTGCATTTTAATGCCTTGCCCCACCAGGGAGGGCCTGAATTTCACTGCTGAGCCAGTTGTTAACAGTGCCTGATAAGGTCTTTTTGACTGAGGTGCAAGTGAAAAGTTTTAATGATATTTTGTCAGAAGACCTAATTTCTAGATATCAGACCATGGAGAGGTTGTTTAAATGAGTGCTTTGGGATGCAGGTTCTACCTAATTTATAGGACTTTATGTATGGATCCCCTGCAACAACCTGTACTGAGGAAGACTCTAGTACTAGAAATAGTTTCTAAATACATGATATCTTGCTATCAACTCAGGAGATAACTTGTGGGTTGACCCTTAAAAGGGATTCTATTGCTATCAAGGAAGTGGAAAGATTTTGAGTGCAAATGGAAGTATTTTGAACTTGAAAGTTCAAGTTTCTGAGAATTTTGATAGTTTTATAATTTCATTAGGTCTCTTATTTTTCCTGAAAGTTTTTGGATTGTTAAGATAGTGGGGTTTCTTAATAAACAGTAAAGCTTTATATTATTACCTAATCACAGCATCAGTGAAATGTCTGTGCTTATTACTTCAGGGATTCATTGAGACTCTTTTTATTTAAGACTTATTTATGCATACTGGGGTACAGGTCAGAGGTGCCGGGGCAGGGGTGTGTGATTCACCAGAGTCAGAGTGGGGAGCAGAAAAGGTGACTGAAATACACTGCTGAGTGTAGTGGGGGAGACAGGAGAGGTCTGCTGTGCCATGTGGGTCAGCTCCCTGGCCGGGAATTGAACTAGCGTTTCAGTGGCTGTGGAGAGCTTCATATTGCTGTGCTTTAACCCATTGTGCCACAAGGAAGGGCCACTGGGACTTCAGTCAGAGATGCAAATTAAGCAACCTCCTGACCCTCATGATGTAGGCCCTCTGTAGTGGGAAAAGTCTCAATCTACTTTAAAGAGTTGTACTTGAATGTATTCCTGGTCCATTTGGAGGTGTTCAAAGGAGACCTGAGGTTTTGGGCTCCAGTTCATGTTTTGCCTTGCTAGTTTGCCAGATTCTAGTCATTGGCAGATAGGGTGAATGTCCTGGGCACTACCCCTAAAATTCTACCAACGTTTATCATTGCCAATATTTCTCTTCTATTGTGTGTAATACGGTGACAAATTTTTGCTTGATTCCAATTTAATTATGACTATTTCCTTAAGCAATTCAAGATTCTTTACCTTGACATTCATTTTTTAGGAGTTTGTGAAGGGGTCAGGATATCTATCTGTAAAGCACTTTAAAGTCATTGACCAGCCCCAAAACATATGTACTATCAGTATAAATACATCTTATTGGCTGATTTTTGCTCTTTTATCCTTTATTAACTGCTAGGTCTGGGTCAGGGCAATCACTGCACTTACATTAGATCTCAGATGACACTGACTCAGCCCATCACTTAACCAAGAGCCTTGGGGCAAGTTATTTTTCTGAGTCTTTGGCTCTTCAAATATGAAATGACAATAATACTTGTTCACAGAACTGTAAGTATGTTACTGTAACAATAATCAATGGATCATACCTACCTTGAAATCCTTCACTTTGGCTCTAACCTTTAATTGTTACAGTCTCTTCTGCGGTGGTCTGTGTTTTATAGCTCAGTCACACCATGGTATATGGCCATGTAGTTATCCAACCACCATCTTAATATTGACACCAGAGTTCAGTTCTTACCTGACCCTCTGTCCCTGAGACTTTTCAGCTGTTAGAGTCTACATTCTGTCACATAGAAGGCACTTGCTTTTAAAAACATTATAATTTGCAAATTCGATTATCATGGGTTTGTTCTAGGGTCTGATATTTCCTCGGTGAAAGGGTAAATTACAGTTTTGGCCCAATGCCGCCGAGGTCTAAATTCTCCCCTCCCTGAGGGGAGCCCAGTCCGGGTTATTGTGAGCTTACAGTACGGCGAGTACGATCCCACCCGGTGACGGGACCAAAGTGGTGGCGTCGCCCGTCGCCACCCCCCCCCCCATCTCCCGCCTTCCTGCCCGCCCCAGCGGGGCGTCCTTAGCAACGCGCGCGCTCGATCTCGGCCCCGCCCCGTCCGCGGTGTCTCGCGCGGGGCGCCTGGCCGCGGCAGCCTTTGCGCTTGCGCGCGGGAACAACCGCCCGGCCGGCTCTCTTCCCCTCCCTCCCCCTCCCTTCTCTTCCTCCTCCTCCTCCTCAGCCTCCTAGAACGAGACACCAACATGGAGCCTGAGGACTTACCGTCGCCCAGCGAGCTGGAGGAGGAGGAGGAGGAGGAGGCAGAGGCGGCGGAGGAGGAGGGGGCGGAGGCGGGGAACTTGGAAGAGGACGAGGTGGTGATGGTGGAGGACCTGGAGGAAGAGGAGGGCCGGGAGCTGGGTGCTGACTGTGACTACGAAAACCAGCCTCGGGAGAGTACGGACGACGAGTATGACGAGGAGGCCCAGGCCTGGCTGCAGGCGCAACCCAGCGGCACTTTGACTCCGCACACGCTCCCGAGGCACCGCTACGCCTTGGACGAACGGGCCGGCTTGGAGAAGGTGAGCCTGGCGGGGGGAGGTCTGGGTGGTGTGGCCGGACTCCCTGGGCGCCCAGCTCGCTCCCCGCGCCGGCTCCTCACCTCGCCGCGCGTCGCGGCGCCTGACTTTGCTTTTGCACTTTAAAGGGCTGGAAGGGCGCGTCTCTGGACGACCCAGCCACCTTGGGACCCGGCTCTTGCCCTGCCTGTCTGCTTCCAGTCTCTCCCTTTTTCTTTTTGCAAAGGCTTCCCCTTACTCCCCCTCAGTCCGCGGATCTTTTGAATTACCTCAAAAGTGCTGCGCGCGTTTGCACCGCTTTGGGGAGGAGGTGGAGCTTGAAGTGCGCCGAAAGGGTAGTTTAGGGGTGGAGAAAGTGGTCGCCCGGGGCGGTCGGGTTGCTGAGACAATTAAGAGTTTAGTTTGCCCGAAGCGCTGGTTGCTCCCTGAGGGAACTGTGTGGATTAGGTAGCTGCGTGATTAGTCTCCTGAGGCTTCTCGCGGTTTGTGCTTCTCTGAACCCTTGTGTAACGTTCAAGTGTTTTTTTTTTGCGGGTTGGAGGGTCTTAGATTGCCGAAAGCTCACGCTGCAGTTCAAACAGCAGTCTGGAAAACTAGAAAGCATAAGGAGAAAGAGCTGATTTTAGGGTTGGCTCCTGAAGACCAATTTGAAAATAAGCGCTTCTAATTTACAGCTTTTGAAAAAAAAAATTTCAGGGAGAAAAAGAGGCGTGCTCTATTACTCAGCTATAGTTACCAAGTGATTAGATGATTAGACGTTCATTAAGTTTCTAGTCTTTGCAAGGAACACTGTGGGAACAAAAAAGAAACCTAGATTTTACTGCTTCTTGAGACATGATAGAAACTTTGCAGTATGAAACAACAAAGTACAAAAATTGAGACGACTTAGACAAGACTGTACGCCTGTGCTGTTCTATACAGTAGTCATATAAGCCCGTGTGGTCTTTACAAGTGAGAGTTAAAATTCAGTGCCTCTGTTGTACGGAACACTTCAATGTTCAATTGCAACACCCTTTTGGACAATGTAGACACAGAATAATCCCATCGTTACAGAAAGTTCTCTTAGACAATGATGTTATAGACTATTGATCAGGAAAGAGCAATAGTTATTGTTTTGCCTGGTATACATTCCAGAGAGGACTTAATTCGTTGAACATGTTATTGTTCCTAGATGCTAAGGAAGCTAGGTAAACCCAAACATATTTTTGTCTGTCTTTCTAGTATTTGCAGTCTAGAGCATGAGGCAGACCATTCTAATGGTCACATAAATAAAAGTAAAATTGGTACTTGCTAATGTGTTTGGAAAGGATAGTCTAAGGAATCTGACCATGTCGGGAGGTTGGGGAAAGCTTCCTTACAGCAGTGATGACAGCTGAGATCTGAAAACAAATTAGGCAAAAGAAAAGGAAAGAACCTTCCTTCATTGAGGGAAAAACACTTGGAGAGATACTGTGGGTTAGAGTCAGTGCTCTGTGGGGGGGCTTTATCCTTGGAGCTTTGAGAAATCAAGGAAGAGATTTTAAATAAGTGGGTTTATAGTAAGTTTTATGTTTCGGAAAGATCATTCTGCAGCAAAGTAGAAAACAGTTTTGATAGCAGGGGCAAAGGGGAGGAGGTGCAAAGATAGGTCAGGAATGCTAGTTAAGAGGCCATTGCAATACTACCAGGCAAAAGATGGTGTTATTTTGGGATAGGGAAATTTTTGAGTGGATACTGAAAAGTGGACTAATTCTGAAAACATTTAATAAGCAAAATCACTACATGTCTACACTCATTTTTTACTTTATTGTCACACTAATAAGGATTAAATGGAATATCACATTCCATCATAGCAGAGCCACTTTTCAGGTGTTAGGTTACTGAAATGGTTGTAGCAAATACTAAGATATGGCAGGTTTAGGGTGGGTGTGGGGGTTGTAGGATGACAGGATTGTTTGGAATGGGTGTTAAGATTATGGGTTTGAGTTCAAGAGCAGAGGATTTCAACTTGTGTCATCTACTTATAGATCATAATTCAAACCACACTTGTGGATGAAGTCTCTTAACTTTGATTTTGCTGTGTGAGTTTTTATTGACTACAGCTATTTAAATTTCTGTCTTCAAGTCTAGTGGAAGAATGGTTTAATTAAACCACTTTAACTCTTCTTACTGCCATTATAAAAGAAATTATTTAACAGTAAGCTGTGTGTAATACGTAATCTTGCTTCTTACAACAGGGGCTGTAACCTGAGTGGTTTTTTCTCAGAGATTTTTTTAAAAAAGAAACCAGAATATATGAAGTTGTAAACTGTATGTTGTATTAAAGGTAGTTTTAAGGTGATATAATGAATAGTAAGGCTATTTTTTTAAATTTTATTTCACTGACATATTAAAAGCTTTCTTTTTTTAATTAAAGGCTTTCTAAGTTGTTGAAGGAAATAATGTTTCCTGCTAGAAATTTATGAACTAGTTAATTTTATACAGTCTAATCTCAAATGACAACTAATGTGTGATTCACTTTCTCATGTAACTACCCCTATGTAGTAAGAAATACTCTACATGATGATGTGTAAGAATGATTAAGCTTATAATTCTTGTTAGTAAGATTGAAGCTGTAAGATATGAAGCTGTTTAAATCCAAAGTGGGATGTGATAGGCCTTAAAACCAAGTCCTTTTAAGGTTCAGGAAAAAGAGTGATCAAGAAGGGCCTTTGCTGTGTTGTCTTCCTCTGGTTCCAGACCATTCGACACCCATCATTCAAACACCTCTCCTCATAATTTCTAAACCTGAATTTCTGTGTTGTCCTATTGAGACTAGTTCTGTGGTTTAGTATCACTAGAAACTCTTGGTTTCTAACTTTAACTGGGTCATCAACAATGACTGGAAATTGTAGTTTCGTCCAGCAACTTCTAACACATCTTTACTCTTAGTCCTTTAGTCCTTGTCCAGTGTCCAGTATATTCTCATCAACAGGTTACCATTTCATAGAAAGAATAACAGGCCCATGACCTTCACCTCCCTACTTCTCATATCCCAATTTACTTATACTGTGTAATTCTTAATCTTTTTGATTATATATATTTTATTCTTAATCCTAATTCTTTGTTATGCTCCTTGGATAAAAACTGTTAGCCAGTTACGCTTTTCTCTTAAGCAGCTGATGGATTTTGTATGCAGATATTTTTTAAGTGATAATGGTTTTAAGTAATTGTTTTCTTGATCTGTTATTGTCAAGTTTGGTATTAGTATTATGCCATTTTCACATAAGATACTGTGAAGATTCTTATTGTTTACACCTAGAAATAATTTAAGTAATGTACAGAATTTTTTTTAAAGATTTATTTATGCATACAGGTACAGGTAGAGGTGCAGGGGTGGTGAGAGGATTCACCAGCTACAGAATGGAGAGCAGAATGGGCAGATGGATGAAGTACACTGCTGAGGCGAGCAGCAGGCCAGACAGGAGAGGGCTGCTGCACCATGTGGGTCACCTCCGGGGCCAGGGATTGAACTCGCACTGAAGTGACTGTGGTTCCTTGCAGTGCTGCATTTATTTATTTATTTATTTTTATTTTATCTTTTTTTTAAACAACATTTTATTTTTACATCATTTTGTACATTTTTTTTTCCATCTCAATTGTAATCCCCGCGGGTTTCCCATCACCAAGTCACCCATGTGCCACCACCATAGTCCCGTGCATTTCCCTCCCCCTTCCCCCTTTTTGATCCCATTCCCCACTCCACCCCCGCAAAATGTCTCTGGTATATGGTTGTTCACTATTTTTGTTATTTTCTCGCCTGGTCCATTATACTCCTGCTATGAGTGAAACCATCCGGTATTTTTCTTTCTCTTTCTGGCTTATCTCACTAAGCATGATCTTTTCCAGCTCCATCCAAGTTGCTGCAAAAGACATGTGTTTCTCTTTTTTGGTTGCTGAGTAATATTCTATTATATATATACCACATCTTTTTAATCCAGTCATCTACTTTTGGGCATTTGGGCTGCTTCCATGTTTTTCCAATTGTAAATAAAACAGCAATAAACATGGGGGTACAGGTATCTTTTTCAATCAGTGTTTTTGTGTCTTTTGGGTAGATACCTAGGAGTGGGATTGCTGGGTCGTAGGGAAGCTCCATGTTTAGCAGTTTGAGGAACCTCCAAACAGTTTTCCATAGTGGTTGTACTAGTTTGCATTCCCACCAGCAGTGCAGGAGAGTTCCTTTTTCTCCACATCCTCACCAACATTTGTTGTTGCTAGTTGTTTGAAGATGTGCCATTCTCACTGGGGTGAGGTGGTTTCTCATTGGCAGTGCTACCTTTTAACCCGCTGAGGGCCCAATGTATAAAACTTTCTTGTATGTTTGAAAAATATCTCTAGTGATACTGTTAATGCCACCTGATTCCCTTCAGGATTATAATTTTGGTATTTTTCTAGAAAATCATTTTAGCAAGGGTTTCTTTATTATATTGGAGTGCTACACACACACACATATTCTATTGAAACTGGTTATTTTCATTTCTTATCCCTGATTTTGTATAATTTTGTTCTGTTTTCTCTTCATCTGATTAGAGATTTATTTACTTGTTTTTTTAATCCAAGAAAACACCTCTTGGATTGCAGTTTATTTCTTTTGCTTTTCATCATATAATTAATTTTAATTTTCATCTTTTACTGTTTCCCTTTTATTTCATGTGTTGAATGCTTAATTGGCTTACTAGTTTGTTTTCACCACTGTTTCTTATAGTCATTTGATTCTTCCATTTTTCTCCATCTTAACCTAAGAAACCTCATTCATGTATTAATGACCTCTGGTGTTTATAAATATTTTACTTTGTCAAGTATCTACTATGTAAATATACATTATTTGTCATTTGGACTTGCTTACCACACATAATTCACTCAACTCCTTCCATTTTTGTAAATAGAAACATTTTTTCTATAGTATTCTGTAGTCTGTATAGATCACATCTTTATCTACTCTTTTATATATAGACATTTAGGTTACTTACTTGCTGTTATAA